AACTAAAGGGCTCATTTTGGCTTCAAATGTGGGATAATTGCTAACATTTGGTTTACGCTTCTAATGATTGACTATAAAATATAAATATATATATATATATGTAACTTAACTAATGTTAGGTTACATAACTCAAGAACCACAGAAAAAATATACAATTACCAAAATTAATCTAAACTAAAAGCTAAAAGCTTTACGAATCACACGTAATATTGTTTTTTTTAATATATTTATATTATTTTTAAGTGATATATTTATTATATAGTGAGTATATAATATATACTGCATTAGTATTTAAACATTCAGATCGTATAAACAAAACAATGCAAAAACATTATGACAATAGACCGTTTAGCGTTATGTGTGTCATAAACTACAGAATGAAGCGACTATAGAATAAAATTTTTTTAAGAAGCGAAGCCTCCTAATCCAACGATCTGCTGTCTCCCTCAGGCGTGACAATTATGAACTTAGTGGTACCTCGATACGATTGTCGAAATATATGAGTGATTTAAGATGAGAGCAAGATTTGAGGATACCCTTTTTTGTGGATGCGTTGCCGGCCTTTGGGGTACGTTGAATAGTTGGAGGTAGTTTCTCGTACCTCAGTCAAACCTCAATCTGTTTGCTTTTTACATACTTATTTTTATTGTGTTTCTTTGTCAGAGTAATTGTTTTTTTTGTAATGTTTGTTTTGTTTAATAATAGGTTATGATCTATATATGTATGTCATGTTTGCCTTTAAGTTCTTCACAAAGTGTTTGTTTTGCCGAGCGTTGGCAAGCTTTTTCTCAATAAAAAAAAATCACCATAGGTCCAAAGAAGATGATCTATTGAATAAAAGCATGAAATCATTTTCATGTCGCCAAACTCCAAAAAAGTACATTGTTTCTTTCCATTTTTCTTCATCATTTCTTGAAGTAGCACAAATGGAAAAAATATATGGTGGAGTTGAGTAGTTTATGTATCCATTTTAAAAGATCTATACACGATTTAAATAACATCGCTCGAAAGAAAAAAAATCCAAACATAGCCAATATTGACACTTTGAATTCATTTTATGACGAAAATGTATATAGACAATTTTGAAATTTACACTATTTATTTTATCACAAGCCAAGTATTCCATTTCAGAAAAAAAAATTGATAAAATTACATTAATTAAATGTTTTACATAACTAATTGTTATTACGGGCCGGCGCGCCTCAGTGCTCCAGCTCTCCACTGCGCCCCGCAGTCCCGAGACACTGACACGGCAAAAATTGGTGCTGCGATAGGGCCTTAACAAATATAACTAAGGTGGTGTTTTGGCGTTGGATCCGATCAATGGCATTTCAATTAATTTCAATACGGGAAAATTGTTTTTTAATACGAGCAAGGTTACGTGACGTTTGTCCACTGTACATATTTATTGTAATTATTATTATTTCTTAAAACAATGAAGTCTCAATAAAAACACGAATATTAAAAAAATAACTTAGACCACAATGAGGTTGCATATTTGTGAAACTCTAACAATAGACTGTTTAGCACATTTATGTTTTGCGAGAACTCGGCACGTCTGCCACTTTCCATTTACATACAAAACTCATTCATAATTAATTGCTGTTATTTAACTGTTATTATATGCGGTTAATGCATAAAACAAGATTGTGTACCGACGAAACACTTACAATACAATCTTCTAATAAAATATTAATAAACATTTCGAGTGTAATCTCGAAGATCGGGCCCGAAGTTAATAGTATTTGTTTTTGTAACATTACCGACATCTCTTGGACAATTGCAAACTCAAAGCCTGAATGTGAAAGTCAGCAAGGAATTTGTGGTTGGTTCCCCCTTTTTATTTTCTCTAACCACCACTATTTTCAACCAAAGTATTATTTTATATGTAAAACTAGCTGACCCGGCAAACGTTTGTTTTGCCATGTATATTATTTCTAGGAAACATTTTTTTAGTTCAATAAAAATAACTATCTACAATCATAAAAATTAGGGGTTGTATGTATTTTTGTATGCTGTATACTTAAGGAAAATTATCACACCATTATGTGTGGCACTCTTGCAAATCATTTATTATTAAAAAAACTATGCTATAGGATTGTAGCGCCAATATATACTCATTAATAAGGTTCAATAGGATCTAGTTATATATTTAAACGCCTATAAACGATTGACCTAAAAACTCTTATTCAAGGCCCTTCAAAATGTCACGCTTTAATTGATAACGTTGCTACACCACAATAAACAGTTACACAACATTTAATGGTCGGGAATCGAACACAATACCCCTTTGTCGTCTGATTAATGAATTCACTTGATTAATTAATCGATGTAAGCTAATGACAACTTGGTGTTTAGCCAATGCAACTTAAACCACAAATTTTTCCTTTCGTTAACAAATATCGCTAATATACTTAAAATATTACAAAAATTAATTAAATGTTACATTTAATTTTGTCCAACATACAAATATAAGGTATTTACAATATTTTAAACCTAATTAGTAATAATAATTCAACATTAATAACAGAAAATTAAAACAAATTTAAAAAGTTTGGTGTCTGTGGCAGTGTATCTTTAACGCTGGCAACATTTCCTTGATGTATTGCGATACTTATTTGTTCAGCGATAAAAGTAATTAGTAGTTATATTTATTATTTTATATTACACCTCTTAAAACTTTAGCTTTATTCCCTATGTATGGATATAATTCTTATATTTACTTTTTGTTAGATATATATTGCGTCTTTATCTCTAGATCAATCTAGATTATGTCAAAAAATATTGTTCCAAACATATCATTGTACCTATGGTTCCTGCCAAGGGACAAATTCTTTTCAATAAATTAAAAATTCAGTCCGTTACCGATAAAGGCCTCCTGCAGATCCTTCTATTTTCTATACTCTTGACCCAAATATAACCAATATAAGGAAAGTATATATGAATGCAGTACTTTCACAAAAATACAAAATGCCACACCCAAATCAAACTACAAATAAATCAATCTAACAGAAAACATTGTTTCCGTCCGTCTCTGATACGTCATTCATTTCGATTAGTGTCGACCTGAATCGATATAATTAATCGGCAACTGAATTCGATCACGAATAATCAAAATATTCAATAAAAAACGAAAGTGTGTGGAGAAAATTGTTTTAAGCGTTTTGTTACTTTGATTAAAGTTTTAGTATAACTTATACTTTCTTCTAACATGCATTTTAGATTTAGGATTATAGTACTTGGTATAATGAAGTCCCCCGGCTGTATATATCTGTAACAACGCGATAAATTCAACAGCTCTGAACGGATCTGTGCACGATTTTCACCAATCGAATAGTTTCACGCGTATAATTCGTTATGGTTTTATCTATTGACTTAAATATAATAATTACATATGTATTTGTATGTAATAACATTTTATGGCTTATTTATGGATGGCGTAGTATTGCTCTTTCGTGAATTTTGTAAACGTTGTTGACATTCATAAGCATGCTCTAAGAAGCATCTAAATTGAATAAACGTATTTTGATTTGATTTGATAAAATGAATGAAAATCTTTGTTTATATACATAACTCTGGATGGTCACAGATTACAAAACGGTGTATACTATAGAATGACCAGCCACAGAGTATAGAACGGTTGCACAAAGAATCAAGATTGTAAAAACTTACAAAGGATTGTTGCTGAAAACTAGCGAATTTAATAAATTAAAGATTAAGTGCCAAACATGTGACGTGTAACAATAAAATAAAGTTAATATTTCCAACATATAACACCAACGGGTTTGACCTGCAATTATTAAAACAAAATCATCGCAGACCTGTTATTCTTCAACTTCTTTGAAATCCGATAAAACTTCCTCTCTGAGAACTGTTTCAGTTGGTAATACTTTAATTTCGTACGAACTAATCTTACGGAGTTAAGGTTCTGTAATAGTTATGTTTATCGAGATTTTTCCAGTGTCCTCATTTCTGATTTCTATTATAACAGCAAATCATCCAGGTCACTAGTTACATTGAATACTAGATTCTGATCAGTTTTGACGTTTCTATAGAAACGTTAAGATATAGACTTTCATCAAATAAATTTCAGTATATAATAATAATAATAATAGCCTTTATTGCTGTGAAATACTTATTCTAGTACATAAAAATGTGAAGTACTATAAACACTAATAATTAATCAAGGCAAGCCGGTTTATTTATATTTTACAGCTTGTCCTTGGACATCGGCGTCCAATAGCTTCCACTCCTCTTGGTGTCTAGCTTTACGTAGCCACATAGGACCAACTGTTATACCTATATCATCTTCCCATCTTTTTAATTGTCTTTTTCGTTTTCTTTGGTCATAGTGAGAAAGTCATTTCGTAGCTTTTCTCTTCCATTTATCTTTGTCTTCTCTCACAATGTGTCCTGTCCATTTCCATTTCAGCCTTTTACTAGAAGTAACAGCATTTCTAAACTTTGTCATCTCTTTTATTTTTTCTGGAGTAAAAACTTTATCTTTCAATTTCGGCCTAGAACACTCCTTTCTCATCTTGTTAGTGAGTGAGTATAATAAAGTATATAATATATACTTATAAATAGTTCCTAGTCTTACCTTAATTATAAAAAACTAAATACCTTCATATCCGCTTTTATAATAAATAATATATTTAAAATAAAATTAGTTTTTGCTCCATTGATAATTTTATCTGCAATCAAACATGTCGAATTACGCTTAATTGCTATATCAATCAACAAAAACGTGTGAACTAGGAAATAGAACATTGCACAATAATCGAATCTCGATCGAAGCAAGTGGATTGTATAGGTCAATATCGCCTAACCACAAATTACTTCAAGGTTATAAAAAGGTCATACCATTCCTTTGTTTCAGTAACCTACAAACTACTTACAAGATTGGATCATGACAGATTAGGAGTGACCACAGACGCAAAATTAAAAATGTTGCGGTTGCCGCGCATTTGAAAATGACAGGTCACTGACACAGATTCAAAATGGCGCATAAACTAAAGAATAATCACTACGTCGCTACCCACCGGTCTGGCGTTGATTCTCCTTCGTCGGGTGGATTTCCGCACAGAGCATCATCACGGGATGAGAATGACAGCCATCGGGCGCCCTCGGAGAGGACTTTATCGGAATATACGGTGAGTACCAGCTTGAAAGGGTAATTATTCAGCGGAAGTAGTCCATTCGGTTTTAATTGCTTGTCCATTAAAGCATAGACAAATAGGCGGATTATAACCGCATTCTATGGATATCTATCTAATGCTTTAAAATAAAATATAAATAAATCAGTGGCGCTACAACTTTTTAGGTCTGGGCCTCAGATTTCTGTATCTGTTTCATAATCATTTGTCAGTCTAATAGGCAATAGTGATCAGCCTCCTGTGCCTGACACAAGCCGTTGACTTTTTGGGTCTAAGGCAATTCGGTGTCCTCACGATGTGTTTCTTCCACTTTTGATCTAATGTTAAATGCGCACATAATGAAACTCCATTTGTGCACAGCCGGGGATCGAACCTCAGGGATGAGAGTCGAACTCTGAAGCTACTAGGCCAACATCTAATTCTTTATATTCACTGTAGTGGTCAATTATATTATATGCTATGGTATATAGGACGTTACCACACCAGAGGGGCCCAAATCGCCATGTCAAGATTTGCCGACATCATCAGTATACTGAATAATATGTAATGTTGGACACTACCAAGCACTGAAGACGAACCAAGATAGATTTTAGCTTAATCATAATTATGTTTACGATGCTTGCGTAGGCGCATGAAAACTACTAAGAAACAAACAAGTACGTTCTAATTTGCGTTCCAAAGTATTGACGCAACTTCCATCCGTAAAATTGCGAACAGACGCCTTCTGACTATAATAAAATTCGATTCCGTGTCCATCTGTTCGCTTGTAAAGTTTTAAATGAGCTTTAAATTAACCAGCTAATTTTGACTTAAGTACAAATAAATACAGCAAACGAAAACACTAAAATAAATAGTTTGGCAACGGACAATGCTGAACAAAAATGCTGGCAACATTTTTTCTTATTAATATTTTAACAACATAGGCTTTGTATTGATTATTTAATAATTAACTATGATACATATGAAAAATATACATATGCTTTCATTATATTAAACCACAATTATTTGAATAAATTAGATTAGATAGATTTTTCGGATACCCTATTTTACCCATTTTTTTTTAATTTAACAAAATATTAGACGGCTTTATCGTCTCGAGCCGTGTTGGCCTTGTGGCTTCAGCGTGGGACTCTCATCCCTGAGGTCGTAGGGTCGATCCCCTACTGTGCACCAATGAACTATCTATGTGCGCATTCACATTCGTTCGAACGGTGAAGGACAACATCGAAACCGACATGTCTTAGAGCCAAAAAGTCGACGGCGTGTGTCAGGCACAGGAGGTTGTTCATGAAACAGATACAGAAGTTTGAGGCCCAGGCCTAAAAAGGTTGTAGCGCCACTGGTTTGTTTGTTTTCTTTATCGTCCTATCATCTAGTTTCTGAGTGTAAGACTCAGGTACTATCTTGCAATAAAGAATATCAATATATTATTTCTATATAAATTTATAACAAAGCTCAATGCGAAATTATTACTTGAACGCAGTGTTTAGATAAAACAATGTATCTAATGTAATTATATGTTTAAACTAACAAGAAACTCAATAATTTTTTTACGATCCGTAAACACATTGAAAATATTAAGAAAACAATATAACAGGTTGTAATAACTGGAGAAGTAACGTAAATAGTTATTTTCGTCCGAAATCGATTAAAATGCTATCAAAACATGCCCAGCCCGCTATGCGCTCCTAAACGTTCTCGCGTCCAAGTTTGAGAACACAGCGTTTTATTTAATAGACATTTATTGAATTATCTTTTTAACTACGCGACTATTTAAATGACTTATTCAATATTTAAAAAAATGCGATTTTTTATTTGTTCAAAAATCTATTGTTCTTTAATAATTTACGTAGTTGTTACATTGATTCACAGCGAAGGCCCATTTAAGCACTTGGACATTGGACAGTGTCTTTCAGTGTAGGCCTCCAAACCTCATTTGTTTTTGGCCTTCTCTATTATTTCAATATTTATTCTTATTGAACTTAGTAGATTTATTCTTTGTGGAATTTGGTGTTTGTATTTAAATTATGGGTACATAAATCTCATCTAGATACAATTGTGAACATCCTGGGATGATAGCAATGATTTCATCCAAGTTTATAAAGAAAAAAATTATAAAACGTATAAAATACAATACAACTAAAAGATTAGGCGCGCTAGGCTATACACTAGGATACCTCGTGTCGTGAGCAGTACTAGAGTTATTTATTGAATAATCACAAAAAAATCCTAAACCATTTTAAAATTAATTAAAATATCATTAGTATTACGTAAAATAAAACAAATTTGTAACTGAGCCGTGCTGGCCTAGTGGCTTCAGCGTGCTACTCTCATCCCTGAGGTCAAAGGTTCGATCCCCGGCTGTGCACCAATGGACTTTCTTTCTATGTACGCATTTAACATTCGCTCGAACGGTGAAGGAAAACATCGTGAGGAAACCGATTGAACCCAAAAAGTCAACGGCGTGCGTCAGGCACAGAAGGCTGATCACCTACTTGCCTATAAGATTACCAAATGATTATGAAACAGATACAGAAATCTGAGGCCCAGACCTAAAAAGGTCGTAGCGCCATTGATTTATTATTATTGTTTTATTTGTAATAGGATATTTATTTAATAAAAGAATATAAATAAGTATTGGTAACCTACAATTATTATAATATTTGTAATAAAACTACACAAAATCGTATCATTAACTTAATTAATAAATAAATTAAACATTTGTACTATCCTATAAAACCTTTTTAATTGGTAATTTTCATTAAATAACCTTCAACCTAAAGTCAACTCTTATGACTTGTTCCGAAGCCTATACAAGCAATCATTACTGAATTCCAGCGTTCATACTATTTGGATTTTAAGCCATAAGTCATAACATTGTTTATTGCGAATAATCCAATATTATGTACATTTGGATCATGCGTTATTTTTATCGCATCACGACGTTTGACGTTCAATTGTTTTGATAGCTTTAACATGTCTAGATATAGTTTTATCTATACTAATATTATAAAGAGAGAATAATGTTATTCGTGAATATATTAATACAAATAATAATACCTATAATTTCCAAGCGATAAAAATGAGCAGTGTTGGCCTAGTGGTTTCAACTTGCGAATCTCATCCCTGGGGTTGTATTCGATCCCCGGCTGTGCACCAATGGACTTTCTGTCTATGTGTGCATTTAACACTCGTATGGTGATGTAAATCATCGTAACCAGCGTCTCTTAATTCCAAAAAGCCGACGGTGTGTGTCAGGTTGATCACCTACTTGCCTATTACAAATGATCACGAAACAATAACAGAAATGTGAGGCCCATGCCTAAAAGTTGTAGCGCCATTGGTAAAAGAAAATTAAAAAAATTACTAGGCATAAGTACCGCTGAATCTCAACTCTTGACAACGTCTTGTCGATCGCCGTTCAGTTGTGTGCCTTTCAGTCTTCTATAAATTGCAATCCGGAGAATGCTTCTTGGAACTACACAACCTGATTCCGTCATCATCTTTCTATCTACACTCGTCTAGAAGGACGCTGGAATACCCTTTTGTTGTTCACATCCCCAAGTGCCGCACTACACGATTTTGATCGCCGCGTGGAACTCCTTGCCCACTTCAATCTTTCCTTAAGAGACATTGGTTCAAACGGCGGCTAAACAGGCATCTCCTAGACAGGAGTGCACTCCAATAGGCCACATCTCACTTAACAGCAGGTGGGATTATGGCCAAACATCTGTCCATAAAAGAAGTACCCAAAGATAAATAATTTTGTAAAGATTTTGTGATCATTTTTTTCTTAATAGTCAAGTATTCGCAATATTCGTCACGATGCCAGTACTGAAGGTACTAGCAAATATATATGGGTATGGTACGCGTTTAAAGATCCAAAAAATCAAATTATAACCACAATAACATACACGCATTGTGGTTTCAGGTAATGGACGAGCGCACGCGCTCACCGTCTGAACGTAATGGTAGGAGACATACCAATGGCTCACCAAGGGCTGACTCTGCTTCGGAAGTCTACGTGACCAGCGCTGCTTACAGACCACCTTCGGAGATCAGGTGAGACATTGTTTTTGTAGTGCATGACAAACAGTTATAGTACATCTACCCGCTTAGCTCCTTCTCTATCTTCCTTTTAATCTCTACTGTACCAGCTGTCTGTCCACATCATATCCTTAACTTTGGCAACATTACTGTTAGATCAGTTAGTGCCAAATTGTCCTTTCATTTTCTACATATGTTTGATTGCTATGTTTTGTTCCATTATTTGTGTCTAAGCGATATTTTATATAGTTTTTGACTTCTTGCGCTCACCTTATTTAATCTTTAAAAAAATCCTTACAGTGGTTACCCTCTTGCAACGAAGTATAAATAAATAAACAATGTATGTAGTGTAACCGTGCCAATAAATTTCAAGTATAACTATGTTCTGTTAAAAAACCTATATCTATGCTTATTAATATAATCTATAGAGAACATTTTGCAAAGGTTTAATTTTAAATTAAATTAATTGAAATACGACTGTCCCCATACTGTCAATCAGAACATTAAATAGGTTCTATTACTTGTAATGTTTTAGTTTTATTGTTACGAGCTAGGGGATCGGTTAGAAAACGACCTAGATCTCTTCAAGGGTTTTTTTTAAATATAAATCAACGAGGAATTTAATTGTACTAACAAGACACAAATTAAAAAGAAAACGCCTGAAAAAATGTTTTAGCCTCCTGAAAACAAAACTTTATGTAAATTACAATAATCTGAAATGTAATAGAACCTCTCCTGAAACGGCCATAAATCAAATTTTATTTCACGCTTTATAAAAACATCGCTTACTTGTGGAAAATTCGGGCAACATTTTAGTCAGGTTGACTGTATATATCTTCGTAACAGTATAATTCTCTACATCATAAACTATTATGAAAATATAATATATGCAACTAAAATATTTAGGGCATTAATTAACAGGATGTCGGAGAACCAAACAAGAGTCTCATTTAAACAAAATTTTCGACTTTTGACTCTAAAAACCACTTAAATTACTATACAAAGTGCATACTATAACAGTTAAGTGAGGTTACTTGGTACCGCTAGATGTATTCCTAATCCTTCGCCTAATTCATACAAGCGGGCCGCGAAACGTGTTCAATTACTAGATTCGTCCTCTGACAATGTAGACGGGCATTTCGAATACGTTTTACAAGCGGGTTTCAACCGAATAGCACTTTTACCAATATTTCTCTGTTCTCACATCCATGGTTGCGAGTTAAGAATGGCAAAGCAGAGGTTGCCATGCTTTCAATAAACAATTCTGGCTACAGGTTAGCGCCACAAAACCAATGATAGTAATAAGATTTAAATAAAACAAATGACTGTAAATAATTAACAATAATATACCTGGCAACCCTAACGTTGCGGCTGACAGAGCTGGCAATCTTTTTTTTCCATTATTTACATAATTTCCTTTGAAATTACGTAAAATTTAAACATAAATAGTTGCAGTGGAATCAGCAAACTAATTTTACAAAAATTAATTACTCGTAATTGCGGGTAATTTTTAAAGTATAAGTTTTATATCCATTGCTTACACCCTCATCGTTAACACTAATTTCATCAAAGAAACAGATAGCAGAATCGAGCAGTGGGAATCTGTACTATAAAAGTCGCATTCAAACCGTCCGTTTACTTTTACGTTCACAAAACAAAACCGGCGTATTAAACGGCGAGATGGATGGAAAATTACCCATAGTGCAATCGCATGCGCATGCACGCATGACTCATCCGATGTATGTTTATTGACTTCATCTCGACACATTGTATTGGAGCGACTAACGGTGATACAGTATATACAACGTGGGGCTTAACGGACGGACATATTTTTGTGTCTACTAGTGCGTCTACTAGTCGATTTCCATCTAATACCTGCTTCTTGACGTAAGCTTTTCTACCACGACTTTTTATAATTGATATTTCCGCCTCAATCCAACATGTAAACCAAAAAAGGGCCAAAGAGTCTCTAATCTAAACAAATCCCATGATTTTGTTTAGATTAGAGACTCTTTGGCCGTGAGGTTCAAGTGCATGGGCTAATTAAAGGTTTGAGTTAGCGCCGGTAGATAGTACGGTGACCCCAGAGAGGAAACGCTGACAGCATACACTGTCAAAGGGACTATTTTAATTTCATATTTATCAATTTTTAATTATTAGGTAGGTATTTTGTTGGCCTCGTGGCTTCAGCGCGCGACTCTCATACCTGAGGTCGTAGGTTCGATACCCGGCTGTGCACCAATGGACTTTCTTTCTATGTGCGCATTTAACATTTGCTCGAACAGTAAAGGAAAACATCGTGAGGAAACCGACATGTCTTAGACCCAAAAGTCGACGGCGTGTGTCAGGCACTGGAGGCTGATCACCTACTTGCCTATTAGGTTTAAAAATGATCATGAAACAAATTCATAAATCTTAGGCCAAAACCTAAAGAGGTTGTAGCGCCACTGATTTATTTATTTTTTTGCAAATTCGCAACTGCCGGTTGGAAAACTGCATTATGATGGAACCAATATCTGTTGATCGGTTTACTGAACCACTATTATTGTTGACAGGGCATTGAGTGCACAATGCGCGTGAGACTGTGTTTAGACGTAGAGCTTTCTAGGTAATTGCCTTAGGGTTAGGCCATTGAGTTTCATAACCTCATAACGATGTGGTTTCTGTTAGTTGCACCACGTTTCAAGGGATAAATAAACATATTTACCCTAAATTATACACGCCATTTTGATCCTTGTAAAGCTTTAAAATACACGGTATTGAAGTTTATATTTCCTTGTATACTTTAAGAAATTATCTATATATTTGTTAATCTAAACGTTCTCTATTTTTTTTAATTGTTTTGGATTCGAACACACATCAACAATTAAGATTATATCAACACAAACAGATCTGAACGCAATAATGATTGTCTCTACTAAAACACTAGTATTGACAAAAACTTCTCTTAAAATAAATTCCTCATAAATTTTATTAAACCCTTAAATCCGTAGCGTAATGAGAAAGCGACTGTAGGATATTCTATACTGTAGAATAATATAATAATGCTTGCAGCATTGCGTTACTGGTAAAAATCATACAACAATTCCATTATCTTCTATAAAAAAAAATTTCGTTCCTTATTTTAGTTCCCATAAAGATTCCCAAGGCGTGACCAATTATAACTTTCTACTGTCCTTGGATGAGACCATAACTAATGCACTGGTCACCAGATTACATTAATACATTTCGGACAAAGCTTTGAAACGCCGACGATAATTTTGGTAAGGGCTGTGGGAAACGTGTAATCAAATTTAAGCAACATCTTGTACACTTTAGTCTTAAAGTTCAATATGTAGTTTGTTTGAACGTGCTAATCTTAGGGACTTCTGGTTTGAATTGTAATTTTAATTAAATAGTCCATTTATCCCCCGAGATAAAAAGGCGAATCGGCATGGCTAAAGATGCCATGACACATTTAGGCAACATATGGAAGAAAAGAGGAATTGGTTGGTTTTGATACCAATTCCTCTTAAAAAGACAGAATATAAATAGAAGATAAATAAGACAGATTCGGGCTCTGGTGTTCCCTATCTTTCTGTATGGAGTAGAAACTTGGACTATTTTGGCTCGAGAAAGGCATGCCTCGATGCCTTTGAGATGTGGTGCTGGCGGCGAATGCTAAGAATACCGTGGACTGCGGAGCGCACCAATACATCGATCATGATCCAACTCCGCATAGACTCGCCTGTCTACCATATGCCAACAGCGAATCGTATCTTATTTCGGCCATACAATGCGCAGAGGCGATGAGAACTTGAAGAAACTGATCGTATTTGGTAACACAGTAAAGACTCATCGTCCTCAAAACTGTACACTGTCATAAGAGAGGCGCTGGACAAAAACCGGTGGAAACAGATAATCCGCTCCAGTTGCTTCCTTGCTGACCACGACGCTCAGACATGAGCTGCCGATTAAAGAGAGAGAGTCCATTTATGGACCACACTTAATTAGCTTAATACTTCTAACTCGTTATAGGAGAACATACACACATAAATAAAAATTTCCTCCAGCAGAGCAGAGAGATTTGATTCGAAAATTATAAAAATTATTTGGAATTTAAATTTCAGTGTTTCATGAATATTTACTTACTGTGTTTCGTAATTCCTAGTAATTTTAATTAATTAAGTAATTTTTAGCCAATCCTATCATTTAAGTTTCTAAAGTGAACAATATATAGGGCATAAGAATTTAAGCAATATTTTACCGCGCTTTCCAAATATTTACATGAATATTTTGACTTTGACATGTCTATATTTGGTCCTTCCGGTTTCTAACAATGCTTTCCTTTCCGTTCTAACAAGTGTTAAATGTTCATTAGTGCACATCCGGGCTTTGAACGCACAAAGTATTAGACGAATCTACTAAAGCACTCCTATTTATTTGTAACCTGAGATATATAACGTAACATTAGTTAAGTTACGTATATATATTTTAGTTAATAATTAGAAGCAAAATCAAAATGTTAACAACCGCACACTTGAACCAAAATGAGCCCTACAGTTTTTCCCACACTTATAAATTGTAGTATAACATTCTCGTTTCCGATAATGCCCAATAGGTCAACTACACTTATGTCTCTAAATCACTGAAAAAATGATTAAAATCGATCCAGTAGTTTTGATTTATACATTATTGCCCGTGGCCTCAGTAGGGTTCAGCTTGCGTTTGCAATGTAAGCGGAAAAATGTAATTATTTACGACATCACATTAGAGACCTCAAAAATAACAGTATTTTTCCACTATTTAATGGATGTTGTTGACATATAAACCTTCCTCTTCAATCTCTCTATTTAAAAAACCCGCCGCATCAAAATCCGTTGCGTAGTTTTAAAGATTTACCTAAGCATACATAGGGATATAGGGACAGAGAAAGCGACTTTGTTTTATACTATGTAGTGATATTGATATATTTGAACTTATCTACAACAACCGCCGCCGAACTTAAATCCTGTTAAGTACATATTTATCCTAATCGTGATGTTTCAATCAAGTTTTTGTCAGCATTGTTAGCATGACGACTTATTTAAAGTGTTTGTTTGCATGACTAAGGGCTTCGATACTCGTTACCTTTTTGTACTCTAAACTTTCTTAGTTCAATGAAAAATATTTGGGACGTTGACATCGGTTGAGTTTTTTCTCGTTAAAGTTGTCAGCTACAAAATAATGGTGTTGATTTGATAAAACCAAAAGTGAGCAGTCATTTTAATATAGCTCTTCACTGTTTAAAATAACTTTCATTAACGGATTTTAATACAATTCATTGTATATTTAATATATTTTTATTAATAACTTTTTATACTATAATATCGATAATAGAATTCTGTACGTTGAATGTTCATGATTTTTAAACTTAATTCACAATCACACAGATGAAAAACTAAATTTTAACTAAATTTTAATAACAAATCTAATTATTTTCCAATAATATAAGAACTATTGATTAGCAGCTCCGTAAAATCTTAAAAAAAGACTCGTTGCGCGACAGAGTTTATTCGATTTCGCGCTTTGCTGGAAGTACATATATAAATAAAATAATTAAATAACTGAAATACTTGTAGATTTATTCTTACCTTAATTTTTAAAGAAAAAATCCTCTAACTAATAAATAACCAAAAAACTAAAATACGTGAAGACAAGTAGGTAAAGTTATTAATAATTAATCAATTACCTGAAACAGTTATAGAAACAACATTTAGAGTTTGTTATTTAATAAAAATTCTTCGAAACATTTATTTCAATCTAATTCCTAATTAAAGTCCGAAAATATTCTATTTAAAAAACTTCTAGTGACCAGCCAAAACTCGCGCCTTTTCCACAGACGAACAAACTCTCAAAATTACAATTAAATAAAATGTCAGTTTTGACACATCACAGATAATTAACCATTTAAAAGAAATATATTTATTACACTTTATTTGATTTTGTCAGAAAACATATGACGAAATGTATGCTAATGCTATTGACGTTAACCCAGTGGTATGTTAACCCACAAACATTATGTCACCCACACTAGGTCAGTAAGATTAGCACCGGCACTACCGGCGTGTTATGTAATGAATCGATTCCGTGACATCTCGATTTGGCCTTGACTCGAAACAAATCGATTCACAATCGTGACTCGGTCGTTACATCGATATTGAATTGCATCCGACAAGTTGAACTTGATCAATTTAATCTGCAGTTTTATTTATTATGGCTCTGTTACATAGACACGATTTCGTGTGTTCGTTGAGCAATGCGATTTCAAAATCTAGGTGTAACTAAATTTAAAACAACTTTGATTTTGTTCTCATTGGAGTAGACTCTTGGGGTTCAAGTTAGCAGGCGCTAATTAAAGATTTAAGTTGGCGCCTGGTAGATAGTACCGGCAACCCCAGAGCTGATGCTTTCCTCGCCTAACGAATAAGTATCGCAATACAGCGAGGAAATTTCTGCCAGCGTCCCGTACGCTAAATTTTAAATTGTTTTAATTTTCTATTTATGAATGTTTAATAATTATAACTATGTAGGTTAAGAATATTGTAAATAAGTACAAACTAAGTGCTTACATATCTGGAGTTTAATATTATATAATTCATGAAAATCAAATTTGCCAAAATGCCAGAAATCAATGTGTACAATCAACAACCTCTCTACATATTAAAACTTGTCTTCACCATTCAGAAGAACAAGGATTGTCTTAACTAAATATGACTTCGCAATGACTTCCAAATAGCCTAATAGAATAATCGTACCCCTTTTATATAAACCAGTTAAAGCTTTATACATTCCCTTCTCTAACAACTCTACAAGTCAATACAAATAAAAATATTTTTATTTAAAACTTTTCGTTCAGCTTGGAGTTGCTTATACTTTTTGTTTTTCTTTTTTCTTCTTTCACATGTTTTTCTTTGTATTCTTGTTTTCGTTTTGTATTGTGTAACTGTGCAAAGAGATTAATTATAGATTAATTGTTTCTGTGTTAAAAATAAAAAGTTGTAACAGTAATAAGGATTCTATAACCAAGATATAAGTCAATGTAGTATGTGTGTATATTCATAGACCACTGGCTATTATCATGGTTCTTTGTAAGGAAGGCAGAACAAAGATGAAAATTAATAAAAAACATGATATTTGTTTCAGTCGACAATCTCGTGCGCCAAGAAGTGTGTATTCATATCGTAGTGGTGTGGCGCCATCTGTCGCGTCTACACATCGCTCCAAAGTCTCCCGAAAAGTTAGTACTTTTACGTATAAAAATACCTAATAATTTTACTCAAATTATATTGTTTTTTAAATACCTTATAATGAGTAACTCAAGTTGGTATAAAAAAAATACCAAGCGTTTGGGCGCTGTTAAAATTCAATAAGTATTTGAACAGATTTTATAAGCTATTAGGATTTACTTACTTATCTTTGATTCAAATCTCGAGAAATATATACAGTGTAAACTCTTTATAACGTCATCCGTTATAACGAAAATCTCTATATAACGTACAAATGGTTACATTTGTTTGGTTTAACACAAAACCCATACATTAACTCACTCTTTATAACAGCCATTCTCTACAACGAAGCAATATATTCATATTTAGACATCAACAACATACTTAAGTGTAATTATTTTGCTTACAAAACTAAACTTTTGAGGTTCCGAATTTTCTAAGGAAGACACCTGAGGACAAACAGCCGTCTCGCCTTTGTTATTATTGCATTAACACGTGTGCCATTATTCTTAGATTACATTGCCTGTAGGAAATTTTACTCTTAGTTACTAAACGCACCACCTTCAACTATCGTGTATAATTATAATTAATTATCAGTGGTAAACAAACTTTGAAACTGTCAAGATGGCCAGTAAAAGAAAAGCGTTATGTGTTTAGAATAATTTACCTATTTATAGTAATAAAATTAGAAATTATTGTAATTGGTTAAAATTGTTTTTTTAGTAATTTTTATGGGTAAAAACTTTCAAACTTGCGTCAGGGTCACGTGATGCTGATCGAAAAACGTAAGATCGAGGGGAAGGGAGAGGAACTAGATCTCACTTCTGAGGCAGGGCAAGGCGCTGCGCGAATGACCGTGTGTGTTTGTACAGCTCCGTATCCAAGGATGGTGAAGTATTGTTGACTGTTGTGTAGTAAATACACTGTTGTGTATTCGTAAATGTGAATTGTTTAAATTATGGAAATCGAACAAAGTGAATCTATTAATGAAAAAAGTGATGATGAAGTAGTGAAAGCAAATGTGTAAGTACTTTATAAATTACTAGATGAAAAACTCTTACTTGGCTTTAGCCGTAACTGTCAAGAAAACCAGCTATAAGCTGAGAACTATAAAACGTAAAAAAACTAATAATAATAGTTAATAAATATAATTTTAATAATAAGATTAGGTTTTCGATCTAGTCTGTATTGACACATAATAGATGTAATATTTATAATATGTTTATACTTTATAGCATTAACCCACATTTTCATACACCACAAAAAGCATTTATTGAATGGTAGGGTGATTGAGGGTTGTTTTTGCTATTTGATACAATTTCCTTCCCTCAATACCCGATTAGAGTCCGCGTCTTAAAACTAATCTTAAATTAATATAAAAGGTGTACAGATAACTAGTTTACCTTTAAATAACGATATAATATTATAAATAACAACACATAAATTGTCATATTTGTGTACGATAGCGCAATAAATAAACATTGTATTCTACCTCATAAATGATAGTACTTTTATACTTATAATTAAACACAACGTGTTAAAAGTGAAAACTTCAATATTAAGTTTTCACTTCTGCCGGCACCCCGGAGTGCTCCCGTTGTTTTTTTTTCTAATCACTGCCTATTACAAAATCTCTCTATAACGAAATAATATGCTCGGTCCCTTGAAATTCGTTATAAAGAGTTTACACTGTACTTTCATAGTCACAAAAAATCATTTACTATAATAGAATATAGCTGATACCTACTAAAGAGGTCAAAGTATAATTAAATACGCAGTAGTAGGTAAGCTGTTTTATTGATGGACATCCGTTGGATGATCCAAAATTAATTATTAAGTTGGTTCAATGTACGTGAAAGTATAAGACACAAAGATTTCTTTCTAATATAGACTTTAAATATTTCAGGCTGGGGTAAAAGTGGACGCTATGGCCGCTCCAAACCCATTTTGTCCCAACGTCAAGGGTATGTGCTGTCTGATGCTACTTCTGAACCTGGGATTGATCCTCGTCACACTGGGTTTCGTTATAGTACTGCAGTTCTTTGAACCATTGTTTGTTTGGTAAGTAAAATATATAAATGGTTAATAAGTACTCGTATGCAACTGTACATGGCTCAAGTACGGCCTCATCTAGGCTGATCCGTGTTGCCTCGGAGGTACGATCTCCAGACTTAAAAGAAATGCATACTCCTCTCATAAAGGACGGCATCACACCCCTAACTAACATAGATGTCTATGGGCTGCTTTAGCTGCATTTGATGGCTGTTAGGTAGATTCGTTTGTTCCAAAAAGTATTTAAGCATTGCTTTTTAAAGTTTTCAAAGATTTCATCGACTGACCTTCCCAGAAACTGAATTAGCGTAGAAAGATCACTGTTATTTTATAAATATAATAAAAACAAAAAAAATACTATAAAAAATAAGTAGTATGCCCCTTAGGTTTAAACTTTAGATTGGCTAGAGCTGAGTGAGTCCAGAGGCTTAGAGAGGTGTTTATGGAGTGATTTCCAGTATTCCCGTTTTCGTGCCATGTTATCAACCATAAATTTTAATATTTAAAAAAATTAAAAAACTTAAATAAAACGTTTAAGAAAGAAATTACTAGGAATTTAAATAATTTCCGATGTCAATCCTTTGTTTACTATTTTTTATACTAATATACCTTTAATTCTATTTAATATTCATAAATTTCACGAAATGCGTACGTATTTTTTTTTAATGGCTTTTATTTGTGCCAACTGGGCACAAGGTACTTCGCCAGTGTCGTGTAGATGGAGAAGGCACGAGGGAGATTGATCGATGAAAATAATAATTAAAAAAAGGTTGAAATTCGATTGTGTACGTATTTTTAATACATTAACAAAAGTAATTAACATTGTCAAGGTATGGTCAAGTGACAATGGACATTTATAACAATACGGCTGTCACTTTTCACTGCAAATCATCCAAAAATGTATTCCCACGAACGAAATGGTTTTAAAATGTGGATCGGCTATTCTTCGCTAACCGCCATGAGAGATTTTATGAACATTAAAAAACGATTTAGCATTGTGTGAATACGCTTGAGGTTTTTATGTTGTTCGAATAAAAATGTATGTAGAAGTTAAAATTCCGGTCTGTTTTCTATTCATTTAAATACTTAGACAATCTTGTTACTGAACTAAAACAGACCGGTCTCTTTTCATCACAATATAAACAGAAAGAGACGAATGAGTACTTTAATTAGAACTTTAGTTTGTAAGAATAAGAAAGTCATAATGAAACTATAAAAGTCAAAGGCAAAATCTTTTTATATGTATATACTGTAGCTAGTAAGTAGTTTGTATTGGTTGCATGGGTTATTCTTGTAAAATGAAACAAATTTAGCTTAGCGATTCGACTAAGGGTCCTTCTGGCATTGTGAGTGTTCATAGGCGGCGATATCACTTAACATCAGATGAGCCTCCTGCCCGTTTGCCTCCTGATGATGATGATGATGATTAGCCTTTATTGCTGACGTTTGCCTCCTATTACATAAAAAAATATGGACATCTAATTTAAGGACATTTCCCAAACCTAAAAAAATTAAAAACATTTTAAATAACTTCAGAGGAAAATAAAACTAAAATATTTATAGAAAACATACCCCTTACAAAGTTTTAACAAAAATCAATAATTTCATATAACGCAGGAATAATTAATATTTATTAATACAATAAAGGAATAATTTATAACTCAGAAGCGGCCAATACACGGGAATCTCAGTCCGTGTCTGTCGTTTTTTTCCCTACGTTATTGAACCAAGCAGCAAGCTATTAGAATTTGTATTATTAAATGTAATAGGAAAATCACAGCCGGGGTTAGAACGCTTGACCATGGAGTGAGTATCCCCTTCATGACGCTAACACCGTTTATTAGTACTAAATAATTCTTTAAATTTCAGGATCCTGGGTATAATCTTCCTTATATTTGGATTCATCACACTCGTGGGCAGTCTTATATATTGCGTGGTGCTCTGCCGGGAGAACCCTTACCCGCAGTACCCTGACGACTTCTATTGGACCCACCACTGGTCCAAGACCATAGGGCCTTCGGAGATACACTACAGTGCGAGCGAGAAACCGTACAGACACGATAGATATAATAAGTATAACGGTAAATACTCGGATAGGGAAAGTGCTAAATTTTCAGATAGAGAGAGTAAGCTAAGTAGGTACTAAGACAACTTTTTTTGGAAGTACCCTCTTATTCATAAAAACTAGTCTACACTATTTTTACTATATTCATAGAGTCAACGCAAAGAAAATGTAAATTATTTGGTACATCCAGAATGCTATATGTCTTACAAAATTCAACATTTTTATTAATTAAACAGTATTCAACAAATTTAAAATGTCATTTGATGTTACGCTGGTGTGTAAGCTTTCTACTCTTTCTCTCTTATTGAGAGATCATATAGTCGTCCTGTTTTGGCGGCTGTCTACGACAATTTCCTGAAGCATCACTTGAGTAAAATTAAAATAGTATTAGATTAAGTATGAATAAGGGGGTGAGACAAAAAAAGAATAATGTTGAGTTAGACCCCAAAGCTACGCTGTTAGTGTCCCGTCTCGGCGATTGGTGGTGCCGCTGAGGGGTTTTAGTGGGTTACAGAGTACCGGAGGTAAGAGTGTATGAAATTAGTTAATGTATGTACGAAGTTAGTTTTAATAGACTTTTATTATCCTGCGATATTAAGTCATATAAAAATAACGCCAATTAATTATATTGCATTCGATGCGCAAATCAACAAGATTTGTTGTCGGAAAGTCCATAATTTTAGTAAGAAGTAAAATCTATCTATTGCTTTGTCAAGTTAAATGCAGGGAAGTTTTGTAAGATTTTATGCATTTACGCAGAATTTTTACATTTTTATCTTAAACGACTCGAGACTTCCGTATTATATTTTTGATACGTACAATGTTTAAAAATGTATGGACATAATGAATATTTTATTTTGAGATGTAAAAAAGCTTTACTGACATATGTACTAACTTAGTTATAAGATCGTAATTGCAAGAATTTACTTTAGTAGACAAAAAAACTTTAGATAAGCGTGATAATTATATAACAAGGACACACCTCTAAAATGTCTTACCCCAAGGTGTAAGATTCAAATTTCAAACCGTTTACGAGAATTTAAAATAAAAATCAAACAATCTAGCATATAGCTAAATTATAGGAATAATTTTTCTCTGTGGTGTGTAAGTCGTAAGTCTTCTAAAACCCAAAATTTTTTGTACAAACGGGAATCATAGTTCGCGCCAAGTCTCGTTTCTGAATTTAATCTTGTCTAAAGTTTACTTGAAACTATTATACTAAAAGATGTATATAATTATATATAATTTATATTATATATAAACTCTAAGATTATTATATATTATTAGATGGTTTATATATAATTTTTATTATATATAAACTCTAAGATTATTGTATTTTTAATTTTTAATTCTCGTGAAATTTGTATCTTTGATGATCACGGTCATACGATATTACTAGTACTGAACTCAAACAGACGATTTAAGGAAAATTTAATTCGTTTATAAAAAACTAACTAAATGTACTCCAATAGAGCTTAGAAAACAATTTAAATACAGACAAACATGTAGCAATACTAAATTTGTCTTTTACTGAATGCAATTTACATATTAGTAAAGTGAATTCTGGCATAATTTATATTAAATATTATTTTTAGATATTATGTACTTAAAAATAAAATGTAAATAATAATACTAAGTATAGAATTGCCATATTAATGTTATTTATAAGCGCACTGGTGCTAAGTCTGTGACGTCATGTTTATGCGAATAAAATATTTATGTAATTACTTGTGTACTTTATAGAACTCGAACCCCAGTGAAATTTCCATTTACCCCTAGATAGCGCCCCCATGGATTAACGTTATAACTTAAAACTCTAACCACATAATTTGTTCAGATTTCTTGGGTTAAAAATGCCTAATTACGTAAATAATAAGTATATATTTTATGGGAATCAAACCCTATGCATTGAACAATGCAACTCCTTTAACCCATAAATGTTAAGCGAGATAAAAGTATGCACGGGCGGATCGTGAATTTGTGGAGATCTGGGCTATTACGGGGAAGTCCCCCGTAATAGACGCACACGCGAAAAAATCCTGGGAATTTCCCGTTCCGATCCCACTGAGTATTTCCGAACTAATTCGACAGAGGGTCCTTCAAGAAAAGAGCTCACCAATTCTTAAAAGGCCGGCCACGTACTTGCAAGTATTCTGGCAATGTAGTGTCCATGGGCGGTCTTACTTAACATCAGATGAGCCCCTCCTGCCCGTTTGCCATTAAACAAAAAAATCTTTGATTTGGTGGACGTGTCAAAACATTATCATACATAATAATAATAGACAATATTTATTTGCTTATTATTTTAAGTCTTTTAATCATAAAAACGTTTAAGAAATAAAAATTTGGAGACAAATAAAACATGTTTTATTAATAAATGTCTTTATTTACAATTATAACTGTAACCAGTACAAAACATTCAATACATTATTAATTATAATTAATTGGCGAATACTGAAAAAATAATAGAACAGGAATAGAGAAAATAAGGAAAATTAACTTTTTACATAAAATTATCTTAATATAAATAAAGCTACGTAAGTAGTAAGGTTAAACTAAGTCAATGTAAGAAAAGTCCTAGATAAAGTTATTATAATTCACTAAATTTATTTACACTTATCTAAAATTACTATCTTCAGATCTGCACTGGTTCTGGAAAAAAAAATTATACAATTTTTTTTTTTTTAAAAATTTTTTTTTCCCCCCCCTTTTTTTTTTTTTTTTTTTTTTTTTTTTTTTTTTTTCTTTTTTATTTTTTATATTTTTATTATTTTTTTTATTCCCTAAGAAAAAAAATTTGAAAGTTAATGTGAGTAGAGGTTTGGAGTCCAAGTTGGGGAGAATTTTTTATTATTGGTTTAGTGAAGAGCTCAAACGAAGAAATTATTTTATATAAGATTATTCTGTTATAAAATGTGGATTAAAGTTCAGTTAAATGTGATAAAAAGTTCGGTTACCATGGTAACTAATGCTGATAATACTTTGCAGTGCCACATACTTTTGTAGGCCGGCCTGAAATTGGTACTACCGTCGCCATTATGAAATGATTTTTTTTTTGGTACGTACAATAAATAACTTTACTATCTACCAACTTCTAATAAAAATCCAACTAAATAGTAGTTTATGCAACTGTCGTATAATAGAGGGTAATTAAAACATGAGGGTAGTTTTTTAAATAAGGTTACACGAGTGTTTTAATACCTATTTATATGCAGTTGCATTAACTACTTAATCTCATGGTTATAGGTTTCCAAGGCATAAAGTTTCTAGCATGTCAGGTAGAGTTAAATTTTTATATATTTAATTTTAATGTGGCAGTTGCATAAACTACTATTATTTTTATTTCTTGCATTACTAATTACAAAGGCAAAAGTTTAATTTATCGAACGGTTATGATTGCTAGGAATCTTAAAAGATATTATATTAATAGTACTAAAAAATCTACCATATCAGTTGTTCCTAAGTGTTTCACATTTATTTAAACCTACAATTGTATTTTCTAGATACTACACATTGTTTTATTAAGACATTTCAATAGGTTATTAAGTTAAAAAAAAATTAAACTATTCCCCTTATAATGGTTAACATTTATTTACTGGCAATACATCCATGACAGCGACGCTCTTACCGGCCAAAAAAAGTATGTGTACCCTGTAGTTCACATTTTATAAGGGTGTAATTATTATCAATAATAAAAGTAATGTATGAAATGTCGATTTCAAATACAGTTGATTTTATTACGTAATACGACTTTGGATGAAACTCCGAGTTCGGGTATAACCACTGATAATAATTTGTAACATATTCCTTTAAATTCCATGTATATTCACACACGAATACACACATTCACACATTTGTTTATAGACATTATTATCTTTTGTATAATAACTCAATTGCTGCCCGCAATTAATGTGGAGACCTTTTGTCCAAACTATTTGCTAAGTAGGTAGGTAAGTAAGTGTGTACGTTTCGAAGGTGAATCTATGGTTTACAAACAAAGTGATATTCTGAGTAGCAACTGTTTCTACTAAGAATATGTGTCTGTATCGCCGTCTGCGTCCGGTTATAACGATTATATCCGGACACAGACATACAGACACAGAGACAAAACAACCTAAATCAACTGTACCTAATTAAAATACATACCAGCAACAACTACTTTGGTATATTATACATGTCTCTATCAAAAACTACTGAACCCATTTTAACGAAATTTTTTTTGAATATATCCAATTTAAATTAAAAAAAAACCAGCACTATGACTTTCAGTTTTCTATAATTGTTCCAAACCCATTAATTGGACTAGAGGAGTGTTATAAACTTTAAAAAAAAATAAGACACAAATGCCTGACACAGCAATGACTCACTTCAGTCACTATCAGAGCCATCACTGAAGTTGTACTTCTGCTTGGGCCTGGCTCTGTTGTTGGCTCGTGGAGGCGGACTCGGCGATAAGACATCACTTTCTTCGTCGCTCGACTCTTTCTTCTTCTTGACAGGCTTTTTAGCTGCTGGCTTCTTCTTATCCTGGGAAAAATAGACGATGTGATCAGCCTTATGTACATTTTCCTACGGTACAAGCAAGTGTTTATTATAAAATAATAAACTTCATTGGATCACAGATAATGTTCGGATAAATAAATCAGGGTTGAGAATCGTAATCGAATAAATTAAAAAAAAAACAACCAAAAGTCCTATATACTATACATTAAAATAAAAAATATGCATACTGATTAATTATGTCAATATTACATTTATCAAATGTCATCTCCGACTGACAGTCTCGTATACAGAATGTAACAAAATATTAAAGAAATTGGCAAATGACATGACACATGTCATCTGTCACTTGCCAATTTACACGAAAAATGCATATAAAATAATTGTTTAACTTGTTTTTATGTTTACAAGGCGTAAAGTGGGTAAGAAACTCTCTGCCACTCTTTAATCGCTAAGTTTTGAGTCATACAAATTGTTTGACCTGGACTCTGGAGCAAATCAATCCCAAGGATTACTATTTAAAAGTATAGTTCAAATTATATCATCAAATTTATAAAAAGCTTTATTGATTAATTTCCATTTAGCTATCTATATAAATGACCGGGCAGTCCATTTATTAGCCGCAGTAGTAAATACTTCAAAATATTAAACTGCTTTTCATTACTTTGATTCTATAGTCAAAATACAATCAAAACTTAAGGTTTAGCGAAATAACTGTTTCTTACCTTCTTAGTATCAAATATGCTGTCATCATCATCGCTGTCCAGGCTAATGGTTGGCTTAACCTTCTTTTTAGGCGGTTCTTTGACCGTCAACAGTTTCCTTTTACCGGGTTTCTTCTTCGGAGCTTCATCTTCACTCTCTATGTTATCTGAACTTTTATTCACTTCTTTCTTTGTTTCTTCTATCAGGGAATCAAATAGACAATCTGAAAGATTTTATAACTATTGACTAAAGCCTGGATTCCGGCCAACCTCCCAAACCTTGTTTTCTACCAAAACAAGAAGTTTCTTATGACACTGACGGCTGATCATCTATCGTTAATGAACTTATCAATGGACCAGAACTAATTAAGCCCATTAGTTCTATCTGATACCGCTCCATTAGGCCAGTTAAGTATATTACAGTTCCTTCAATAATTATTTAATATTATACATGAGCATTTTAACTAAATATATCATCTTTTTATACATTTTACGTATCAAATTACAATATATATTTTGGTTGGATAAAATACCTATATACTTTCTATTAAAAATCTATTGAAAATGCCTCGTAGGTATTATGACTGGTATTGAAACAGGGTAATCAAAGTGATATTAAGTTCATTATTTTTTTGAAGTTATACTTCTTTTGGCGCGTTAGGGAAAAATGATGAGAGTAAATTTTTACGAGACACCGTCACAAAAAACCAACACCCTGAAGTTATAGTCAACATTTTAGTTTTTTCTATTGTTAGTGTCGTTTTTCCTACAGAATAATTTTGACATTTAAGTACACACACGTTTTTTTATTTTGAATGAACTTGAAATTACCTGAGTCCATCTCCGCGGGCTTCTTATTGGCGTTGTTCTTGACATTGAAGTCATCGTCGTCGTCGCTGAGTGAAATGGCCCTCCGCGGTTGTTCGTTGTCCGACTCTAGTTTGTTATCTAATAGTTCCGGTTCCGAATCAGATTTGGAATCATCTGAGCCGTCTGTGTATTTTTGGACCTGTCAAGGAATTCAAATTTATAACGTGTTTCTTTTTTATAGAAAAAATAATTAATTTTTTTATAGGAATCCTCGAAAATGCATTTCGTTTTCAAGCATAGACAATGTGTATAAAATGCTGAAAAAAATATGTGTAAAAAAAGCTAATAATTACTGTTGAAGAAAATCAAAGAATCCCCGTATAATGCTTTAACAGCAATTAATTACGTAATGCCCTAATTAAAGAACCCTTTTTTTTAGAGAAGAAAATTCTATTCTATATAAAAATATCATATAATAGTTTTTATTCATACATGTCTTACACAGGATTATTTGACAGATATTTATCACTACAAAGCAATAACGACTGACATTTTGGTGTTGCTGTTAGTAAAAAAATATATTTCTAATTATTATATAATTGATAAATTCCGTATATAATCTTATTCTCTTTGTTCTATAATTTGTATGTACGATTTTAATGGGCTATATTTGATTTCCACAAAAATATAAATGTATAATAATATAATATACCTTGGTAGCAGCTCGTCTCGTGGAAGTCCTCTCCCTGGGAGCAGCTGGAGCCGCCATCTCCACGTCAGACCCTGACAAGTCTTCAGACTCGCTGCCGCTAAACGTTGGCTTCTTCTGAAATATTTTATTTACTCTATATAACGACGCTCAAGGGACTATGCATATTTTGACGTTACAAGACGGTGTCATTAAATAGAAAGAAGAAAAATCTGTATTAGAAAAAGAAAAATTCTATTTCAGACTAGTGTTAGTAATTACATAAAAAACAATTCTTATTTGATCGCTATTGCGTATAGTCTGTTATTTTCGAATTTTGCTGCACCAATAATTATGTTGTATTTTTTACTCGTTTTATTCATATCTTGCGATATTGAGGCATCTTCGAGATAAAGCACGTGCAAGCAATACCAGTTCGTAAACAGACAAACGGATTTCTTAAAAAGTTCGATACGTATGATGCCGACAGTCGAGGTTTACGGGCTAGGACAATATAGCGAGCAAAGAACGTACACGGTACACAGTTCCGCAGTTTTAACTAATTTCGGCAACTTATAAAGTACTTTTTATTATTTAATTGTCGTTATTGAGAGTGGGTGTAGTACTATGTAGTGTGTTCATTGTATGGAAGACAAGCTAAACCAACCAAAGCCGAGGGATTACGACGCTTTAGGTGGATTGTCGTTAAATCGAGGGACGGTACATGGAGTTTACATTGTAGTTCCAAACATGTCCTAATATTATAAGGGAGATATTAGAGATTCAAACAAAAACATTATGACTTATTGTAAAATTAAGTCTGTATAAAATTATTACCTTCTTCGGTTCCTTTTTAAATGTAAGTTTAGTCTGCTTCATTCCGTCCTTCTCTTTGTCGCTCTTGTCACTCTTGTCTCCCTTCTCTTTCTCAACTTTCTCTACTTTCTCTGACTCTACCTCGCGGTTTCTTCTCGTTACTCGCGGGACTCACACCTGTCGGATCATCCTGAAAAAAAACAACAATTATAAAATAAAGCAATTAGCGGATTTAAAGATTTTCGCGATAACATGTGATATTTATTTTACTATGAGAATTCATATAAAATTTGAAGACTACCAAATTCTTATAATTAATTGACTTATACAATTTAATATGAAATATTATCGTAAATTTTGTTGTATTTTTTAATACAACACTAAGTAAAAGAAATTCCAGATTATTGGCTCTATGATAGTTTTTGTAATAGTTTAAAAAGTCTCACCGGATCATACTCTTTCTTAACTTCCTTCTTGATCTTGGCTTTTTCGGCAGCTTGGATCCTCTTGATGATATCTTCAGATATTTTTGGTTCCACTCGTCTTCCGTTATTGGAAGGAATGATCTCCATAATTGATTTGCGGTTCTTCTTATTCGCTGCCTGAAATTTATTTCATAATAGAAGCATATCACCCTAATTATAGGTATGTTAACTAAAGCTGGCGGCTTCAACACATTTACACTTTGTGCTTGTGTAGTGTCTGTGAATAAGCGCGAGACGTGATGTCAAACTGAAATACAATCATAAATACATCATGAATAGACTGTCCGTCGTGTATGAGTGGACTAAAATGTATAGCATGGCAAAAAAATCATATTTTGAAACATACTGTATGTGAAATTGCATTAGTGTGAGTACTGTGAACCCGCCAGCTTTCGATAACCGACCTATACACATATATAACTATGTACTTGGTTTAAATTGCACTCTTGTGCGTCAGTATGAAAGTTTAAATCCGGAAAAAATAAATTAAGGCTTTATATTAAAACATATATCCTTTCCATCTTTAATAATAAGTGACTTTTGTAAATATATATTTTTTAATTTGTAAATATATAATTCTTAATGTATGTATATCTATCTATCTTTTATTTAATTGATTCATGATTCTTAAAATTTCATTTTTTATTTTAGATATTAGTTTTGTAATTGTATAAATCTACATTGTCATCTGTATCTAATTTTATTTTTGTTAATAAAGTTACAGAATTTTTCTTTACTAATGTCGACGCATTTTAAACTGACGTTAAAATTGGTCGTTACGAGTAAGAGTTGTTCGTTTTTCAATAAATAAAAGATTTTTGTTAACACTCATTACATAACTTACGCTTCGTTACGCAAAATGGAGAATTTATTTTCTAACGTGGTTTTGAAGCTTACCTTTATTCTATCCATCTTAGGATTAGCATGAAAATATTATAAGACCACATTATTAAACATTTAAATAAATATTATTAATAATTACAATTAAAAGGTAACCATTTACCCTATGAAGTCCACTTTTTGAGCACCTTTTGAAATAATCGTTTGAACTTCACATAAGTATTGAATGTAAACTATATGCATACAAATTAATTGAACACCATGTGTACCTGTGCCTTAGACGTCTTTCTGTTGGTAGCAGCCTCTTCTTGCCTCTCACTCTCTTCCAGATCTTCTAGTTTCACGAGGAAGATGTCAAGATCGTCCCGCCATAGTATTGATGGAGTTTTCTTTCTGTTAATTTTTTTTCATAAAATGAATATTTTCTAATAATTACAATAATTAAGGCAACTTCTTCATTCTTGTCTTCAATCACACATCCATAATTGTCTAATTAATTTATACATCAAATAAAAGTTGCCTAAATGCATTTACGTTATTTGTCTTGCTATTTCATATCTCAAAAACTACTAAACCATTTTTGATTGAATTTGGACTGGACGTTGGAATACGAATTAAACTAAAATAAGGAGCTTTGCCAAAACATAATATTCACATATTATTATTAAACAATTTCCTAAAAAAATAACTCTTAAATTAATATAAATAAGACACCAGTTTGCACTTGCACTCCCATTAAAACAAATGTATCTTTGTAGTCAAGATCTAGCGGAAAGAAACCCGAATGTCAAAAAAGTTAATTTTGGGATTTGTGATTACAACAATTTAATGCGGAAATTAAAAAGGTTATTTACTTGAGAGCCTCCAATTCTGATAACTTCTGATCCCTTTGCTTGAGCAGCTCATCTTTCTTCTCCTTCGTCAGCATCCACATCGACATCCCCAAAAGGTAGTTGAACTTCTTTACTTCCTTTAATTGTTGGAATGCTTTCTCTGAAATATTTTACTTATATTAAGAGAGAAATACAATTATATAAGGTAACTAGCCGACCCGGCAAACGTCGTTTTGCCATGTATATTATTTCTAGGAAACATTTTTTTTAGTTCAATAAAGATAAATCTACTATAATAAGAAATAGGGGTTGGTCGTAGAGGGGGAAAAAATTGAGGTTGTATGTATTTTTGATGTATCATAAAAAATAAAAAACAAAAAATGTATCTAAAAATAGAAATAAAAATTTAGAGCTTAACATTGAGGGGTTTGAAAAAAAGATACAAGCCGATTCTCAGATTTACTGAATATACATAAAAAATTTCATAGGAATCGGTCTAGCCGTTTCGGAGGAGTATGGGAACGAACATTATGACACGAGAATTTTATATATTAGACTATTACTAATATCTCTTGAGGAAAATCTACAACAAACTTAAACTTTAAATGTAATTCTTAAATAATTTTACCACAAAATACAATCAATTTTAACGCTGTAAAATTTAATCCAGGATATAATTAAAAAAAAGTCTCACAACTAACCGGGATCTACTGGTTTTCCCCCTTTAGTCTGCTCAGGTTCTAGTTCCTCCTCGGATTCCTCTGCCTCATCATCCTCCAACGCGTTCAGACCTTGCATTTTGGTCGCTCGTTTCTTCCAATCCGCGATGGGATCAGGGGCGTAACCTATTTACATAATAACAATTATAAAACTTCTTGAGATATATCTCTTACACATAAATTTATGATACAAAATATACATAGAAGATACAAATGCTTAATTGTATCTTTAAACCGAAATTTATGTTTTTCCGCAAAATTATTTGCTCTAAACCTAAGTCTTAACCAAAGCAATATTTCGATCTCTTTCTGTCGAGTTGCATTTATACTGCAATAGAAAGAGACAGATGAATACAATAGCTAAAACGGAACAATTTCTCTTTTTTTTAATTTTGAATGTGACTGACAGCGAATCCCGTCACATGCATGCATCGCCATAACCACAAAATTTTGGTCCTTCGATCCGAAAGTTTTTTTTTATATAGAACGGGGCAAACGGGCAGGAAGCTCATCTGATGTTAAGTGATACCGCCGCCCATGGACACTCACAATGCCAGAGGGCTCGCGAGCGCGTTGCCGACCTTTTAAGAATTGGTACGCTCTTTTCTTGAAGGACCCTTAGTCGAATTGGTTCGGTAATACTTCAGTGGGCAGCTGATTCCTCAAACTGGTGGTGCGCGGTCAAAGTTAAACGAAGTTTATGGTGAATTATTGAACACCTATCAAACAGACAAATCAACACACCTCGTTTGATCAACTCATCCACCATCACCTTTCTCTTCTTGTTTTCGACCACCAACCCCTTGTCACACTTCTCTACGATGAACCGAGCCTGGTTTGTCAGTTTGTCTGCCTCCGCTTGCAGTTGCCCTTCGAGGAATTCCTTCCTCTTGGCGTAGTATCGCAGTCGGACGTCATAAAACTGCCGCAAGATCTCTTCTACTTTGTCGAATCTGGAGTTATTAATAGAAGTTAGTTAAACTATATTTTGTCGTGAATTTTTTAAAGGAAATTTAAGATTTAAACGGACCAGACATTTCACAGCCATAATAGGTATATATAATAAAAATTAATTAAACTCACTTATTAATTAAAAAATAAAAATTCTCTGACAATTTTTATAACAAAAACTTCTAAGAAAAAATAAATAAAGAATTCATCTGCACAATATTAAATATTACTTACTTCTTTAAGCAGTTGTTGTGGTCGAAAGCGTTCATACAAGTCATAGAGATGGTCGTTTGCAATTTGAACACTTTGTGGATGCCCTCAGCCTCTACTTCGGCGAGTTTTCCCGGCAAAAGGGACACGACGAAGCGAACTGTCGTGTCTGTATTGTATTCCTGAAAATATTTTTATCAGTTAGTAAGTGTTTAACGTATGCGCGATTTATAATTTTTTTTAGATTTATAAAGAAAATTACACTTAAACTACAATATATTAAATAATTACGCAAACTTATTTATTATTTTAATTAATGTAGTTATAGTAAGTTAAGGTTTTAAATTTTGCTTTACGAATAACCAGCATGGTCACAGATTGATTAACATATTAGTGAAATTACCATAAATATAAAAGTACTTTTAATAGTAACTCCTTTCAAATTTCCTAATTACGTTACTAAGTTATTATTTGATTATTAAATTTAAGTAATAAAGTGACAACGTCTAATAAATCGATGAACGCCGGCTGAACGCACGAAAAAGCATGACACATTGTCCTGTTACGCTCAATGTCCTGTTACACTCGTCCCGTTACGCTCATGTACGCATGTGCCGCATCTATCTCTTCCACTCGAAGACTTAATGCAATCATTTTATCAATGGTTTGTTTTGACGTTGTCACGTGAAACTTTGTCACTTTAAAGATAACCATTTTTTTAATAATAATTTTAAATAAATTAACTCACCCTATACTCGGATATAACCGGCTTCACTTTATCCGTTCCCAAAAGGGGTTCCAAAACATTTTCTTTATAATTTTGTGTCCACGTGCCAACCGGAAGTTCAGTGATTTCAATCTTGTCGTTGGGCAAAATGGCGGCCTCGCCGGAAATAACGTATTTATCACCGAAACTCTCTATGGTTCCGCGGAAATTTTTGTACCAGGGGTGCATTGGTTTCGGTTCTTCGCCATCAAGCATACGCCTTTAACAAAGATATTTAAAAAATTAAAAATAAATCAGTGGCGCTACAACCTTTTTAGGTCTGGGCCTCAGATTTTTGTATCTGTTTCATGTCAATCTAATAGGCACGTAGGTGATCAGCCTCCTCTGCCTGACACACGCCGTCGACTTTTTGGGTAGGGCATGCCAGTTACACGATGTTTTCCTTCACCGTACGAGTCTTAAATGCGCACATAGACAGAAAGTCTATTGGTGCACGGCCGGGGATCGAACCTACGACCTCAGAGATGAGAGTCGCACGCTGAAGCCGCTAGGCCCACACTGCTTTTATCGATATTAGTTAATTAAGTTATTTTAATATTTTATTATTAGATCGTTAAAATAAATAAAATGTTACGATTAATGCAATAATTACCGTATGTTAGCAACAATATCCCTCGGATTGTAATTAGGTATCTTCGTAGACCATCCAGTACCGATTCCTTCGGCTCCATTCACCAACACCATCGGAAGTATGGGAGCGTAGTGAATTGGTTCTATTTTCTGGTTATCTTCAAACTCGTGCTACAAACACAGAAACAATCATTTAATAAACCTATAATTATTGGAAGAGATTTTTTTAATTTCTGGTTATTTGAATACAGAGGACTCAAAGTTATATACACAAAAAGCATAAGTTCACACACATATTATAATTTTATTACACCTAATTTTTACCGTTTTGCCAAGAAATAAATATATTTCATCATTTAATTGGTTTCTTGACATATATTGCTTATCACATTACTAGGATTTTTTGAACAGCTCTCAAATGAGGAGAATCAGATACTTATGTTAAGGATATACACGTTTGAAAATTACATAATTATGTAGGAAAAAATTAAATAATAATAAAAAAATATAATATTTAATTAAAAGTTTTTAAAAAAATATAATATTTAATTAAAAACCTATCAGTAAGTTTGCACTACAATTGTTTTTAGCCAAAAAAACTGTCTACAGGAAATCGCTCAAACCAAATTGCATACATAAATTCCTAATATGTTCGCGTCTTTTATGTGAAAAAGAATACTTACCAGTAGCAAAGGGTCGTCGTGAGGGTGGAACACCAGCCTCGTGAGTGGTGACATCAGCGTGAAGATGTAACGGGGACTGGCCGAGTCTTTGCCTCCGCACAAGCGAGTACCGAACTGACCACGGGGTTCTAACAAATTTATGTTGTTTGAACCCACGTAGTTTTGTGCGAGATTTACGATCGTCATCGCAAGGGATTGTTCACCTGTAAGGAGTTATTAGGTTTTAAATACACAGAAGTTTAATAAACTTGAATATAAAAAAAATTAAATCAATTAGTGGCGCTATAAGCTCTATAGGTCTGGCCCTCATATTTCTAGATCTGTTTCGTGATCATTTTTCAATTTAATACAAGTAGCAGCTTCCAGTGCCTGACACATGCCGTCGACTTTTAGGGTCTAAGACATGTCGGTTTCCTCCCTATGTTTTCCTTCACCGTTTGAGCTACTATTAAATGCGCACATAGAAAGTAAGTCCATTGATGCAAAGCCGGGAATCGAACCTACGACCTATTCTTGAAAAACCACTTTAACGCCGGTACCTCTATTGGACGTTACGAAATGACAAGTTGTTTGAATGAAACTAAGATAGCACTCCGCATATACCGCATTCTTATTGAATATTTTCAGTTTGTGAAATGTCTTAGAATATTGAATTAATAATATCTAATATATAAAATTCTTGTGTCACTGTGTTTGTAATGAAACTCCTCCGAAATGGCTGGACCGATTTTCGTGAAATGTTGTGTGCATATCGGTTAGGTCTAAAAACATCTATTTTTCATCTCCCTAAATGTTAAGGTCCCCTAAATTTTTATTTTATTTATTAGACAACATTTTTTGTTTTTGTTTTTTTAAGATACAACATACAAAAATACATACGGGTTGTATGTATTTTTACCCCTCTACGATCAACCCCAATTTTTTATTATAATATATAGTTTTTTTTATTTAACTAAATAATGTTTCTTAGAAATAATATACCTGGCGAAACAACTATTGCCGGGTCAGCTTAAATATTCTAAAGAATATTTATAAATAAACAGGTTTAGATTCAGATAACTCCTGAACAAAAAATCCTGCATGACAACTTTTCTATTAGTCTTCTAAATTGGTATGTGTATACGAAAAGGTGTTGAAATTTATTTATCAATTTATTGAACCAACAGTGTGACCAACTCACCATGATGATAAGCCGAGTGTTCAGCCACTGAACCAGCCAATTGTGCGACTTTCACTTCTCGTTTGTCGTTACGTTTGATGCAAGTGAATATCACTTTCCTCTGACCTGGCTTCAACCCGTCTATCATAGATGGTATTGATCTGAAATAAGTAGATACAGAAATTACATAAAGAAAATATATTTACTTGTGCCATGTAATAAACACTTCACACGACCTGTGATGCATGGCCATTGTTACAGTGATCCCCCTATAACGCGATTTCCGTCCCCCATATAACGCTGTATTTCCTACCCTTAACGCGTTTTCGTATAACACGTTTTCCGTCCCCCATATAACTCAAGAGTTTTCCCTCTATAGCGCGTTATGCGTCCCCCATACAACGTACTATTTCCCCCTATTACGCGTTTACCGACCCCCATATGACACATGATTTTCCCCTATAACGCGTTTTGCATCCCCCATATAACGCAGTATTTTCCTCCTATAACGCGTTATGCGTCCCCCATATAACGCGTGAGTGAGAACGGTGCCTTGATCGCGTCTTTTGTGCCCGCACTTTACCCACATGACGCCCACTGGATCCATCCCGCTAATAACTATGTCAATATCGATGGAGTAAAGATATTTCTCCGACATATAATCTCAATTGCCTATTGAACGCAAAAGTAGTAGAGGAAGACCACAAAAAAAGATGGCAAGACAACATCAGACAAGGCAAGAGAATGTGGTCCGAATATTAGAATAGTTTTTTCAACCTTCTAATACCTAGTTTAATATAATCAACAATATTTATGTGTGTACCTAAGTCAATCTGAATAAACGTCTATATTATTATTATTACCTCACATTATCCCCATTAGAAAATAGAACCAGCTCCAAATTGACAAAGTCAGAGTATGTAACGGTCTTAGTTTCCTTGGTGTACAGATAGCGTTCTGGTAATCCAATCTCCTTTCGTCGCTTGACTTCCTCCATGTGGCTGGTCAACCATTCCTTCCTTTGATCAGCTCCTTTCTTGCTGAACGCCAGTTCTATGTGATGATCGTCGGTTGCTCCCGCATATTTAAATCTGAAGTATAATTAAAAGTTTACTCAAAGAATCACTATTAAATACCCTCTCATTATTTTTGTCTCTGTATTAATTTCATCAAGACAATGAATAATGATTATAAAGAAAACTACATTTTTTACACAAGCAAACAGGCAGGAGGGTCATCTGATGTTACGGTAATGTGTGCCGCCCATGGCCCATGGACACACACATTGCCAGGAGGCTCGCAAGTGCGTTGCCGATCTTTTAAGAAATGGTACGGTACAGTGGGCAGTGGCACCAGTTCATCCGATGATGAACCTTAGCTGCAGGTTGATTACAATTACATACAACAGTTTTTTAACTTTGTCATCTTAATATATATAAATTACGCGTCACTCCTAAACTACGGAACCGATTTCAATCAAATTTCCACACCGTGTGTAGTTTGATCCAACTTAAAAGATAGGATAGCTTACATCTCAATTAATACCCGCAATATTATTTTATTTCAAAATGTTTGTTTATTATTTGATAGTCACAGCTAACAGATGGCGCTGTGTTGAAAGTACCAACGTTTCACATAAGCTACAATTTAATGGCATAACCACCAAAAAAGCATGGTGGTCGCCATGACTGGTGTTTTCCTACCGTTTCGTTACTACTATGTAATACAACAAAAACCTCAGCCACAGCAACACTTGGCCGGTCTGCTAGTTGTTTATAATTTCGTCATGTAAGAATATCCCATTTATATAGTAATAAAAGAGAATATCTGTAGGTTAACAAATGTAATCACCAGCAACCAACATATTCCGAGTAGGTTTCTAGGTGTGCCCAAAACAGTAGGAAATCAAATATATGAAAAAAATTAATCAATTGCGTTACAACGTTTATAGGTCTCCGTTACACGATCATTTGTCAATCTAATAGGTCTGCTGTGCCTGACACACACCGTCAACTAACACACTTTGGGTCTTAGGCAAGCCAGTTTCCTCACGATGTTCACCTTTATATTAAATGCGCACATAGAAAGTCCATTGGTGCACAGCCGGGGATCGAACCTAGGATGGCAGTCGTACACTAAAGCCAAAATAAATAAAAGAAAATCACCTTATCCTATGCCTCTCCATATTCTGGAAATACTCTTTAGCCTCCTTAGCAGTGGAGGTACCCAAACCCTTGTAGTATTTGATATTGTATGTGTGATAATTGTCCGTTTCATTCTTCCATTCTTCAAACTCGGGTAATGAGTAAAATGATATTTCCTTATCTTTCTTACTTGCCTTGACAATCGGCGTAATGAATTCTTCCAAAAACGGCAGTTTTAACAGCTCAGGCCAATTGTGATGGATGAAATTTATGATCAAACCTTTTATATGCGATCCGTCATGATCCTGATCGGCCATTATCATCACTTTGCCGTAACGAAGTGACTTTAAATCGTCTATCGAGTTGTACTTCTTTTTGTACTGAAGGCCCAAGATTTTAATGAGATTATTTATCTCCACATTCTCGAGAACCTGTTTATGTGAAGCATCTCGGACGTTTAAAGGTTTACCCTTCAATGGGAACACCCCATAGTGGTCCCTCCCAACAACACTTAACCCCGATACAGCTAACGTTTTAGCTGAGTCTCCCTCGGTAAGAATTAAAGTACACAAATGTGAATTCTTTGTACCCGCTTCGTTAGCATCTTCTAACTTAGGTATACCTTTCAACTTGCTCTGCTTTTTACCAGAAGCTTTCACAAGTTCATTCTGAGCTTTAAACTTAGCCCATGTCAATACGGATTCTACTAAGCCACTCTTAGAAACTGCCGTAATAAATTTCTCTGAGAAAGTGCATTTCGATCCAAAGCTCTTGGCTTGGAGTGTCATGTTTTCTTTGGTTTGTGAATCAAAGGTTGGGTTTACGATGAGGCAATTGACAAAAATCCACATGTGATTCTTGACTTGGAAAGGTTTAATGTTCACACCACCTTTATTTTTCTTCTTTAATACTTCCAGAACATTCTTCACAATACTATCTGCTACGGTGTCAACATGCTTACCTCCTTTAGTGGTAGCAATAGAATTTACGAATGAAACTTGTTGGAAACCTCTGTCAGAGAGGGTGAGAGCAATTTCCCACCGTTCATTAACTTTTTCATAGACAACCTTCAGTGGTTGTCCAGCCTCATCCTCTTTGCCTTTTATGTGTAAATCAATGTAGTCTTTGAATTTATTTATTTTGAGCCTTTCTCCATTGAGATACACTTTGACGCCTGCTGTTGATGCAGCTACGTCGTACGCACGTCGTGACATTAGACATACAATATCGTCTTCTAATTTCTCCATTTTAAATTTAGCCAAATCAGGGCTAAATGTCACTTTTGTAAAATCATCGTCTTTGCCAGATTCTTTTACCTTTGGCTCAGAAGCTTTTGTCATATTAGATCCCCAAGTCTGTTTAAAATGTTTTTTATATTGCTTAGATGCAGTTTCAACTGTAAACTTTGTGGAAAATATATTACACAATTTTGCACCATAACCATTACGGCCACCAGTCACTTTTTCTTCTTCATCATTGTAATTAGATGATGTCAGCAAATGTCCAAAAATCATAGTGGGAACATACATTTTTTCATCTTTATGCATGACTACTGGAATCCCGCATCCATTATTATATACAGAAATTGTATTTTGTTCTTGGTTGATCTCAATCCTTATAACGTCCATCTTAGGGTCTCTCTGCTTATTATCAGCTGCATTTACTAATATTTCATCATATATTTTGTACAAACCTGAAATAACAAGTTTCACCTGTTTTAAATGTAAGGGACATGAAATATACTAAGATATATGTACTTTATTATTATTGCATTAGAGGTACTTATATGAACAAGAGCTTTTAAGATAACATAAATAAATATAAATCATTAACCTGGTACATAAGTTAATTCCTTCTGCACCATGCACTCCTTACTCTTATCAAAGACCCACATAGTTTCTGTGGCCCGTTCAACAGACCCAATGTATGTATCGGGTCTAAGAAGAATGTGCTCAAGCTGTGACTTTTTCTGATAAGTCTTTTCTATACTACCCTTTTGATTTTTGGGGGGTGTAGCGTCCTTAGTACCATTCTGTGTGCCATTGTTAATTTTTTGAAACATTGACTGAAATCAAGTTTAACAAGTTATGAGAAATATTACACATAATATAAATTATCTTTTAATTTTAAATAAATACCTAACAAGAAATAATGAATAAGTAAATTTTAATTTAAATATTTTATGCCATTATTAGACGTACATAGCTAAGATACAATATCAACTTCAGAATGATTCTCAAAAATTCAGTCATCGATATTTGTGAGGGTTATTAATACTGATAAATTGTTGGTGTATACTATTAATATAATGCCCGCCATATAATAGTCCAAGTATCATTCAATGCAATTTAAAGAAGTTGTAATCTAAAAACTCCGTGCATTTAATTACATATTCTTATTTTAAGGATGAGAAAATAGTATTTAACGTATTAATGAGTAAAATGTAAGGCATGGTAATATTGTGCCAAAAACAATTTAATAAGAATTGACCGTTACTGATCAAAATGCCGCCAAGTCGGACCTCTTTACCTTTATATCAGCCATCTTGTAAGTTGTGCTTATAAATCGTACGCGATCAACGCGTTTCCAATTTAATTGCCTTGTCAACAAGACAATATTAGAGCAAATGCTAGTAACTTTTGCAAAATAACATTTTTATTCGATAAATTCGCAAAGGAACACGACCGTGAATAAATTGACAGAGACGCCAAGTTATTCATAAACTATAAAGTTAAAAGTAAGTATTCATTTCAAGATCACAAATCAACACTTGTCTGTGACCGTACACAGCTAATATGATACTACTGACATAACAAACTTATGACCGTAAATGGTGACTTAAAACAATAGGGCGTAGATCCAGATTATGAATTAGCAGCTTATTTGCAAAATCTAATGGCGCTTATAAACGGGCCATGTTTTGCTGCAATTGATGGCTGCACTGTTGGCAACTAATTGCCCGGCCATTAGAAATATATTTTAATGCAGCTGATGGCCGAACAATCTAAGGCTGGGCAATGTGTTGCAATAGTATGGCCCATGATGCAGACTCCTAAACGGGCTACACAAACCGGCAACAATGGCTGACGAAATCACACTTGTCGCAGCAGCTTATATTGTTTTAAAAAAGAAACAGAAAAAGAAAAGATTGTGGATTCGACCTTACTTAAATAGGCGTGAAACTGTAGACAATTTGAGTCTAGATCTAGAAATAAGCCTTGATAATAAATTATTCAAGAACTAGAATGTCAAAAGCAGTCATTTTTACGTAGTAACCTCACGTCAAAATGCTGCTGATCGCAAAACACAGAATATAGCAACAGGCACACTTCACTCATAGCAAACGTCATGTCGCGTAGAAAAGGATACACTGTGCCATAACAAAGAGAGTGACAGAAACAACAATAGAACTGGCTGTGCAATATTGCAGTTGAATTCGATAGCCTAGCGATTGTCCGGCAACCCATCGGGGCAATATCGGCCATATGTGGCTATATAAAACATGCCGGGGCATTACTGCAATATTGCATAGTGTGGCTGTTATTGTTTGCAATGTTGCCGGGCCACAGTGTTGCAGCCATCAATTGCAGCAAAACATGTCCCGTTTAGAAGTGCCATAATGAAATGTTAAAAAAAGTAATTATTTATCCTTTTTGCTCTAATTCAATACTTCAAATCACTGCTTCACCTTCTTAATTATTTTTAGCTTAAACCTTATTATTTAATCGTTTATTCCCTTGTTACCTACCATTACAGCAACTCAACTCATTGATTAGATAAAAAATAGAAAGAAGAAAGAAAATTTACTTGAATCTTGTTATAACCAATATTGGTAAATGCAACTTTTGGGAATTCTGCCAGTGTTAAAATGAATATGGTGGTCTTATGTGTGTACAAAACACCCGTAAGTGGTTCATGTCAAGTTCAAGTCAAGTTTGTTCGCTCTTGCGACACAGCCAGCATTAATTGTTATCATCTTCCATGCATAGAGTAAGTGTGGTTAATCGGTGTACGAAGCTCCAGACTCTCTAACATTCCTGCACTATGCGCTCTACATGTTAGGATTTTAAAATAGGTCCAGGAGTAATAGCTAGATTCCTCCATACCCGTAGCTGGGTATATCCTACCAGACCCAAAACGAATAATGTCTTATATATAATGTAAATATAGTAAGAAAAATTGTTAAGTATTCGTTTAGCAACTGATTAGTATTTTTTTCGCGTGGGTTTTCAAGTGACGGGTATAAGAAACACACTCGTGACCTTATCTTATTCTAATGGAAGAGATCGCTTGAAAGCTATAAGGCCACTGGTTGCCCTCCCTATTATTTAAGTGCTATAATTTTACTGGTTTTTAATGCAATATGGAGTTAAATAACTAAACATAAATTAATTAGAAACAAAAACTCATTTTTATTTCTAAATATAAAATTTAAAGAAATATTGTTGCAGATTATGCAATTTTATTAAATTTAAATATTTCTGAAACCTTTATGCTTTAGGAATATTTAAAATACAATCAATTTTAATTTTAGATGTGCCAGAATATTTAGGTGTGTGCAAGTAAAAATACCCAACTTTACGTTTGGTGCGTTTTCATTGATTATTACACAGACTTCTCCCTGCGATTCTGTAACTCGCTTCACACACTCTACGCTGATTTTTGCTGTCAAATCGTTCGTTTCGGTGTCATGTTACAATTTGGTATTCTGATAAACAATAACCGCGACAAAAGCGCCGCTCAAATAGATTGTTCACATTTGGAACTAAAATTTGGCACTGCTACACTTACGCTCCAAAATTGTTGATATTTGGTATTCTGATACATACCATTTGACATCTCATCTCATTTAAATGTAGATTCTTTACGTCAAATTAAAAGTTGCTCTTCCTCCTGAAATCGTGATTTACAGTGAGGTAGCCATTTTTAGCGAAGTTAAAACTTGTTTTATGTGAAAATATTCTAATAGGACAATCTTATGTATGTTGATTGTTGGGGTAAGTTTATAAAATAATATTTATAAATAATGTACACTGGAATGTAGCACTTAAATTTTTTGAAAAAAATAAAAATTTTGAAATTGAATTGAATATTTATCAATGCAGCTATATTTTACGAAAAAAATTATATATATAAGCATTAGGCTTCGTGAAATAGAACTTTGTTATTGTTACAGAAGGCCGTTTCCACTTTAAAAGCTTAAACCTCTATTTCATGAAATAAATGATGTAAACCATTAAAAATACTTCATATAATATCTATAGATGGCGAAGAAATTGTAGGCACGAAGACCAATTGGTTTCTCGCGTTGGTTACTATCGCTTTTTTCCAATGACCAAGAAATTATATGGTATTGACGAAACCTTGAACATATGCTGCTGAGATGAACGAAGAGACTAGTAAATAGATATTCTAAGGTAAACATTTTGATTATTTTTAAAAATATCATTTTTATCCTAGAACCAACTTTTCGATGCAGTCTTGATCATGTCTTGTCTCCCAGAGATAAGTCAAACAGAAAACGATGAATAAGTTAAGATAGGTAATTTTTGTAAAATATTTGTATTTTTCTACTTATAAAATTATAAATCTATAATTTCAGAGATCTCAAAATTCCTGGTAGAAAAATTACATTCTGCCTTTGAAGAAGACAAGGCCCTGGATATAGAAAGACACAATAGTGCAGATATTTTCAAATTATTGAATTTCGACTATCCTTCAATTTTAATAAATGATAACACAGTACAATTTCGGTTCCTATATTTTTATAAATATTGATATAACATTAAGGTTTTGGATAAAAAATTATTCTGCTTTACACAATATGAAATACATTTACATACATGATGGTTTAAGTACTTAAGCTTTTTTAAATTTATAGTTCATAACTATTACTTTTTACAAACTAATTAGAAAATATAATATTAAAATAAATATATTTGTCTACAAAATAAAGTAGATGTTATTGATTAGCTCTATTGAGGCTGGGTTTGAATTAGTTTTTATTATACTTAAGTTTGAGTTTGTATTACTGAAAGTTATTTTGTAGTGTGTTAAAAGTTTACTATAATCATTAAATTAAATGTGTAAGTTATTATATTGTTCTTTTATTAACCTATAAAGTAACATGGCTTATATATTTTTCATTTAGGTTACTACATTTTCTGTAGGCAGTCATTAAATAATGGTAGATTTAATTAATCATTTTATTAACATATTAGATACAAAAAATTATTATGAAGTACACAATTATCTTAAACACGGTAATACAATTTTAAAAAATTTTAAAATAGATTTGTGGTCTCGGTTTAATCTCTTCTTAACATTTCAATAATTGGTCATTTTCTTCCTCATTCTTACAATACCGCTGATGGCTGTAATACAATATTATCTGTTAAAATTGTAATAGGGAGATATGGTAGGTCACTTACTGAACATTTGGTAAATTTAATTTAGTAAAGTTAAGGAAAATAATAAAACTTTAAAACACACAAAAACTTTATGGGATATCTTTGTATTTCTAAGTAAAGTATCTTAAAAACTTTTGATAATATTATAACTAACCAAAAATTATTTAAAGTTTTATGGTAACAAGGCTTAGTAATTTCACACACAGTATTTGATTCAGTACTATGATAAAAAAATCTTGAGCAAACCTACATTTAGACTCAAAATCCAAATCTAAGTATGTTCCTACTTTAAAAACAATTATTTATTAATTAAACAAATCCAAGACCATGAAGGGTATGTTTAGTGCTAAATTGTAGTGCTGACTACAATATAATAACAATAAAATAGAATAACTATCTTTAGATTGCTTCTATGTATATTAAATAAGTTATGGCAATGTCATTTCCAACATTTAAAATTAAGTTGATCACTTGAAATGGTATAAATTTGAGCAATTGAAATTTTTGATCCAACATACCTAACATGATTATTTTACTTGTGTTCTGAAATCTGAAAATTAAATTAAATTCAATTGATCATTAAAATTAATACTTCTTATATTTCAGAATGGAATTTGAAGTTAGAAAACTAAAAATATTTTTTTATTTAACATTTTTAACAATAATTTAATTATTCTTTACAATGTCGCTTCGATTTAACCTATTACATGACTTCAAATTTTCCATCAAACAAACAAACTTTGTTAACTATTTTTCTAGACACTGCTTATTCCTATTTATTTACTATGATAGTTATTATGTTTCTAAAATAGTTTTAATAGAATTCAGTTTTTAAGAGTGTTAGTAAAAACATAGGTAATATTGTTGTTGTGTGTTTGACCTCTGAATCACTTAAAAAGGTTGCAATAGTAGTTTCGTGGCATCTAAAAGGTACCAACACTTGCACTTACACAAATGAATAAATATATAAACACAAATTTTTACTTTTAATTTATAATTACTCAAAAAATATTATATGACAACATTGGTATTCACCTTTAGTAATATTATGAAAATTTAAGATACCTATCCATCTTGTTTAGTTTGAATCCATAGACCATTCTACCATCGTTAATAATATTCTTAAATTTTGTA